AGCTCCGCTAGCTTTCGTGACATGCTGGCCTACAAGGTACAAATTCCTGGAATAAACATCTTTGACACCAAGGCACAGAAACAGTCTCGTACGCCCCCTTGCCCTTCCCCACGAATGTCCACTGCTCTGATTTCTTGACCTCTTGGCCAATGTCGTCGCAACACGCCATGGCAGGAGAGTGAACGCGGCAAACGGGCGGAAAAAAAAAAGTAAACTCACTACTCTACTCGCCTAGACTGCTGAACACCCCGGAGCCGTGCAGCAGGTGAGAAATGAAATGAATACGGATTATCCAAACGTGCTGCGCTGCACGCAGGGTTGGACATGCTCACATCTACACTCGCCAGGCTATGCACTGCGAGCTGTATGCAGTTGAATCACGCACTAGTAAAGTGTGGAAGACTTGCTGCAAATATCGATCGACGTCCTCAAGCTCTGAGCATGGAAGCTACCATTACTATTCACCAATTACCATTGTTTTGTCCTTTTCATTGGAGTTTGTGCAATGCTCCAAATGCTCGACCCTCGCGCCAAGTACCTGTCAAAACGTCCCCAACGGACGACGCTCTCCGCTGGTACATCAAGAAGCTTTACATCTCTGAGCGCTTTGTCCTCTGCTGCAGACATGCTCCCGGCAGGCTGCAAAACACACGCACCTCCAATCAACTCCACCGTGGTATTCTGTTTGGTGGCTCAACTCGCGATCGCTGGAACCTGTGCAAGGCAGCAATCCACAGGCCATGATAGGAACCTGTCCTCTGACTAAGCCCAGAGCCCCAGCCACAGCCGCGCTGAATGGCGCGGTTGCCGTACTGGCCAACTCCCTGCGTTCAGAAGCAGAATTCGGCAGCAAACCAGCAGCAAAGCAGGCAACCGGCCTCATTTCAGCAGCAAGCCTGTAGGCGGGCAGATGTACTGCGGTGCATGCGGTGCAATGGAGCTGCTACAAACTTCCAACGAGCCTGTCCGGCAATGCCAGTGAACAACGAGCCTTGAAACAAGCAACGGCAAGTGTTGTGGCAATACTGAGAGATGACCCAACCTGGAAGTCTGCAGACAGGAATGACGAAGCAATTGTCTGCAAGCCTGGCACCAGTTGGGGCGGCCCGAACTTGGGCGATCAAAGTCGATAGGTTTTCAAAGGAGTCGTAGGAAACTTTCTGCTCCACGTGCCTTCTTTTGCCATAGATTTTAGCTCCACTTCTCTGGCTGCCTTAGGGAACATGTCTGGAAGTGAAGTAGCAGCTGTGCCTGCACACGGGGACAGCTCGACAGCTCTCAGGCCACTACGCTAGCCAGGGACTGAACCTGCAGGACCAGATGGGAATCTTCTGCAAGCCAACATGAACAGCAGCGCGAGCTGTGCGTACTCAGGCGCCTCAGTGAAGCCTTTGGATAAGATCTTGTGTAGCTCATCCAGCCGCTGGTCATTAACGTGCCGCAAATCCTTCCCAAATCCGCGAAGCAATATGTGACGTAGTGTTCAGCGCAAACTCACCTAAAACTCACCTGACTGCCAATCTTTGGACCAGTTCGCTCCCCCTTGTTTTAAAACGAGCTGAGACATGAAAGCATGGACAACGGTGCATCCACTTGTGAGCCTCCGGCTGCCATGAATGTCTAAAAGGGCAGCACAGCATGACATACAGTATACGGATTTTCGGCACAAAGTTTGACAAGCCGTCAGGCCAAAGCGGCTCACCGCTAAAAATCTTGCTGATGGTGTGTGCTGCAGTTGCCTAGTTCCGTTCCTGGGTTGAATGCTTTGCAACAGTGTGGTATTGCTTCGCAAGGCGACCCTCAGGCACGCATGAGCGATGTTAGCAAACATGTAGACGCTCTGGGAGAAGCCTGCACATGCGTTGCTGAATGGAAGGAAAATTACAAAGAACGGTAATGGCTGCCGGAAATTCCGGCAGTCTATGCAGAAGGGTACAAGAGGCAATGGCTTTTGCGTGGGCGTGAGCTCATGCCGACATCTGCAAGGGACGTCATATATGTCATAGGGGGATTTCACAGAGACGTCATAACATGAAGCAGGAAATGGCCAGCAAAGCCTGGACTTGCTAGCCCAATTGAGATCTTCCCACAGAAAACAGTTTGGGAGTAATTATGGGCTGGTGAGCATTTTTTGATTTCCAAGCCCGCCACCCTTGACGTGGCCACCCCCCTCCTCACCCTAATATTATCCTTTTGCATGCTGATGTGCTCATAGAAGTTCAGAGTTTAAGGTTTACGTACACAAACAGCGTGCAACTCCAACAGCCAAGGCGGACGCGCGATAGCGATGACTAATTAATCTAAAGTCCCCCACCCTTCTGGCAACGACAGCAAGATCAAAGAGAGCGAGCGACGTTGCAACCTGGCGGCTGTTTTAGCTTGTCTTTTGGGAAACTAACCTCGTGTCATGTTCCAGGGATCTACGCTTACAGCGTTGCCCAGCACCACTTATGATTCCTGCGAGTCTGCAAGTGATGCCGTGCAGCACACACACCCTGTCTGCGAGCCAGAGACCCGAGGCAAACTTGCAGTAGCGCGTACTATTTGAGCAATGTCACGAGGAGAGCCTCCTCCGCATCCTTTGGCCAGTGTATACATTTGCTCCAGCACGTGCTTGGGAATCGTTCAGCCGAGACCGCTCTCAGCGAAGGCATTATTTTCACTTGCAAGTGTGTGCAAAGAGTTATGAGGGAGCAACGGTAGAGAAAGGAAGCAAATATTGGTTTTGGAGAAATCGGCCTGGCACCGATTGTCGCATTACATGCTTCATGTTCCACATTGTTCCACATTCTCGCTGGCAGCTTGGAAAGGAGTGCTTATACTGCTTGGTGCCATTCGCACATGTGGCACGGAAGTGAAGCTCATGCCGTCAATCAGATTCTGAGGTGCATTGCACCTCGAAATTCCTCTGATAAAAGTAAAACAGATACAAATCATGGTTTATGTCCAACGTGCTCACAGCACCTGCATCCAGCGAAGCTCCAGCTTTCCGATGTTCGGCAGCCGTTTCGCCAATTCCTCGCTGGCTGGCCAACAGAATCAATCTTGCAGATGTGGCAGGCATTGTCGATTCCGTGCAGACAGGCACACTCTCTCCAACTCCTGTCCATGCCTCATCCCATCTTGCAACAGCCACTCAGCGCGAGACTTGCAGGTGCCTCTTCGACGCATGCGTCACCATGAGGCGCGCCTGGCAAGGGCCGCGAGAGAGGAATTCCAATCGAAAGCTGTCAGACCATGCAACCCTCCAGCTCCAAGTTCCACTAGGAAATGCGCAGACTCTGACAACTGACTTCCTGCATGCCCACCCGAAAAGGTGTGCATGATCCACTGTGCGACTGTACTCCAATTCTCAAACCCAGACGGCCTCCCGTAGCTGCAAAAGAGCCTTGCCCAACTCCTCCAGAGTGCAATGCTTCAAAGGCTTTGAGAGTGTTTTTGAGTTGTCACAAAGCCTGGCCTGCACCAGATGACTCAAGCTGCGTCTCAGCCAGCACAGCGCAGCATCCTTTGACCCCACAAGACATGTTGGACAGGACGGGCGCTACGTTATCAGAACGCATGCTTCGGGAATGCAGGATGTAAGGGACTGTCCCAAGACGAAACCAGCCCTACCACAAAGGGACAAAACCCGCAAACCGTTCAGCAACATGTCCACATGTCAGCATAGCAAGCTTGGGATCAACTAAGAGTAGCTCGCCACCTGCTGCTGCCACCCTCTGGTAGGGCTGCAATGCCTGGTCAGCTGCTTCCACGGCAAATGCAAGAGTGCGAGACAGGCATGAGCCGTTTTTGAGCTGCTAGCCATGAGGAAGAAGCCTGAGCCACCGCAAGTCTTCGGCATAGCAAGTTCAATGTCTATGCAGAGCATTAGCAATGTACTGGCCTAAAAGGCGGAAGAACTCCACCTTCACACTTTTGGAGGTGGCCTTGCATCCTTTTGGAAACCCAGAGTCCATCTGCCCCTGCGTCACTCCTCAATTCACGCCAAGCGGCAAAAGCGGTCGAGGTGCCTGCACAGCTCCAAGAACGCCTTCCTCGCCTGGTCCAGTTCAAAGAAGGAAGCCAACGACGAATGTTGCTCCGTCGCGCCTCCATGTTGGCCTCCTCCGCAAACACTGGCAGCAAGCCGCTATCTGCCAGATGAGCATGAGGCAGCAATGCTTGAATCTGAATCTCAGGCTCAATCCAAGACTATTCAAGCAAGGCCTTGAGGGCTCACGGGCATTTGCCAACTCTGGCTCGTCTCCTCCACAGCGCTTGCAATCTCGTAAATGCCACTATCAACAGACTGTTTCTTTGTACCTATACGCAGATTATCTCAGGTTCGTAAGGAATCTAAGCACCCTTGCCAAATACTTCTTTCAATTTGACACTCATGCGCACTCATCCTCCAGAAGCGTTGCAAAGCTTGGTGAGGCTGCATCGCCTAGCATGCGAGATGTTGCTTCCAAAATGGCGTTGATGCTGACTCCAACAAGAATTAGCGCTAGCCGCTAGCAAGAACAGACCTGAATGACAGTTCTGATGATGCACAGCGACGCCTGAGCTTCGCACTGGTAGGAGCAACGTCCTCAAGCTAGGCAAGTAAGCTGCCATGCTGGGCTTCGAGAAGCTAGTGGCATGCAAATATCAAGCAGGGCTTGGGTTCGGTCTTGAGTGGGTTCAGGGTTAAGTTGCTCTTTGGGATCCTGACTTTATCGCATCGAGTTGTGGCAGCTTAGGAGTTTTGGGTCATACTGAGGTTAGGATGGAAGCAGCCGAACGGGTGGAGTGATATGCTGCAAGAGGCTGGAATTTTAAGAGCAAATACGTGCGAACGAAGCCAGGAAACTTCATACGCTGCGAAATCTGCACCTTCTAGAAACACCTGCTCAGCAATACATTTGCAGCCGTGGGAAAAACTTATGGTTTCTTCGTGCTAGGACGTTTTGTGCTTTGGAACAGGGTAGCGGCGGTAGCCGCAAACCCTGGCAATAGTAGTACGTACCAACAGTAACGAGAATCATCAGGCGGTCGGGCATCAATGTAATGTGGCGAATGCAAATCACTACCGATCGAGATAATCACCTTCCTCAGAGCAACCATTGTGAAATGGCCTTCCTTTTTGCAAGGGTTAATGATATCGAGAGAGGGTTCCATTCAAGATTGCCATCCTAATCAACCTCG